AACCTCTGAGGTCTTTGGATTTGGATTTGGCTGAACTCCCCATAACTTCAGCTGCACAAAGGTCATACATTGTTCTGTATTTTAACATCCTTTCAACGCCCATCCCATACTTTGGTCGATCTTTACACCCTGCTATAACCTCCCACCCTCTCTCCACAACACCCAGCTTTGTCCTCAGTCCATTTTCTGTTATTGGCTTGCCATCTTGAACCTTCCCTCACCTCCTCCCCTGATTTACGTCTTTCTTTCAAAGCCGGGATGCTCCTTGACACTAAGCCCAGGTCTGGTTTCATCTCCATTGGGACTATTAAAGTGTCCCAGCCTCTGTGTGTACGAGCGAGCGAGCGAGAGAGAGAGAGAGAGGGGGGGGGGCAGGAGGTGGAGGGCTGCCCCAACAATGGCCAGCGTTAATCAAATTAACTCAGAATGAATTTCCTGTCTCCAAAAACACGTGTCATAAAAAAGAGCCCGAGGAGAGGCCGTGATTGTGTCGGAGCGGGGGTGGACGCTGGAGTCAAATTCTCTCTTGAAGGGTCTGTTTTTTTGGTTACAAATTAGCTCAGCTCCAGGTTTACGGCTCGTGTGTTCGGAGATTGCAGGATAATGAGCAGTTTATGAATGAGGAGAGAAGCAGCAGCTGGATGGCTTTAAGAGACTTCGTTACATGTTTATTGGCGTTGGTTACGACCGAGCCAGAGGTGGAAGAGCATCTGGTTAGCCACGGCTCACAGTCACCAACCACTAACCCAACCACTAACCAACCACTAACCCAACCACTAACCAACCACTAACCCAACCACTAACCCAACCACCAACCAACCACTAACCCAACCACTAACCCAACCACCAACCAACCACTAACCCAACTACTAACCCAACCACTAACCCAACCACTAACCCAACCACTAACCCAACCACCAACCAACCACTAACCCAACTACTAACCCAACCACTAACCCAACCACTAACCAACCACTAACCCAACCACTAACCCAACCACTAACCCAACCACCAACCAACCACTAACCCAACCACTAACCAACCACTAACCCAACCACTAACCACTAACCAACCACTAACCCAACCACTAACCCAACCACCAACCAACCACTAACCAACCACTAACCCAACCACTAACCCAACCACCAACCAACCACTAACCAACCACTAACCCAACCACCAACCAACCACTAACCCAACCACTAACCCAACCACCAACCAACCACTAACCCAACCACTAACCAACCACTAACCCAACCACTAACCGTTTCAACAGTTTCAACAGTTTCAACAGTTTAATGATGAAAGGAATATAAATCTGATTGTTCTGGAATGTTCCACAGTCACCTCCAGATCTACTCTACTGTACCCCACCATACTCTAGCATACTCTACTCTGCTCTACTCTACTCTTCTCTACCTTACCATAGTCTACTGTACTGTACTCTACTCTACTCTACTACTCTGCTCTACTCTGCTCTACTCTACTCTACTCTACTCTACTCTACTCTACTCTACTCTACTCTGCTCTGCTCTACTCTACTCTACTCTACTCTACTCTACTCTACTCTACTCTACTCTACTCTACTCTACTCTACTCTACTCTACTCTGCTCTACTCTACTCTACTCTACTCTACTCTTCTCTACCTTACCATAGTCTACTGTACTCTACTCTACTCTACTACTCTGCTCTACTCTGCTCTACTCTACTCTACTCTACTCTACTCTACTCTACTCTTCTCTACCTTACCATAGTCTACTGTACTCTGCTCTACTCTACTACTCTGCTCTACTCTACTCTACTCTACTCTACTCTACTCTACTCTGCTCTGCTCTGCTCTACTCTACTCTACTCTACTCTACTCTACTCTACTCTACTCTACTCTGCTCTGCTCTACTCTACTCTACTCTACTCTACTCTACCTTACCATAGTCTACTGTACTCTACTGTACTCTACTCTACTCTACTACTCTACTCTACTCTGCTCTGCTCTGCTCTACGCTCTACTCTACTCTACTCTACTCTACTCTACCAGGTACATTTTAGTACCTTCTTTGTCCTGGTTTTGTCCATACCTCACTTTTTATTTGAATAAATAATACATATTATTTGTCCTAAAAAGAACACAAATGTCAGAGCCCTGAGAGTCACATTATGAGTCTTTGGGCTGAGTGGTGGTGATCGTATGGTTTGACAGTTACATACCTGAGCTTTAACAGTTGGACACTGATGAATCTGAGAGCGAGCGGTGATGTCAGTTACACAGTAATGCATGTAATGTGTCCATGTTTTATTACTGCTGATCTGTAGCTAACTGTATGATTGTGTTATGCTTTAGCGTGCGGGGCTAATGCTAATGTCGCGGTCAGGAGGTTGGCAGTTAGCAGACACAATACTAGCTCTGAATCCAGGCCATTTCAGCTCACAGGAAACAGAGGAAACACAGGGGCCATCTGACCTCCTGCCACGCTCTATTTTTATCCCACCGCCCGTACATTTTTAATGCTTTTAATGGAGGCTGTTCCTGTGCTGTTCCTTTTGGGATCCCCCCCTCCGTAACCCCCCCCCCCCCCCCCCCCCAGAATCCACCACAGAGAGGAAAGTAGATTTATGACATTCTAATGAGACCAGAGAAGGAGTTTGTGATGTGGGTAACATTAGTGAGTATTTCTGGCTAGTACTCGTAGAGAAGGCATGGCCAGTGCCGATCGCTGCTGGAAGCCATGGTTACCAAGGAAATTCCTCAGATACTGGTTTGTTGTGGGTAGGTTGCAAAGATTCTGTACCAGATACTAGGGTAGTAGAGTAGAGTAGAGTAGAGTAGAGTAGAGTAGAGTAGAGTAGAGTAGAGTAGAGTAGAGTAGAGTAGAGTAGAGTAGAGTAGAGTAGAGTAGAGTAGAGTAGGGTAGACAGGACTGGTTCATACCAAACTGTTCTCAGAGTCTGCAGTCTGTTCTTAGAGTCACCTGAATGTGTTTTTCTCGCTGCACATGTCACACATTATCATTTCCCATGAAGCTCTGATGCCCTACTTACACGACTTACACGACTTACACGACTCTGAAACTGTACTGCTCCAACGGACTGTTTTAAACTGGTTTTTAGCATAACAAATCCTTCATCCGTCCCTCAGTGCCAGAACAGAAAATAAACACTAAACTTGGGTCCAAAATAACTAATATAAACTATTAGTTATTTTGGACCCAAGTTTAGTGTTTATTTTCTGTTTTGCCTAAAGACATTCATAGAATTAAAGTTTAATTTTGTTTTTATTTGGGTTATTGACAGATATCTCATTGACTGTATTAAAACCAAGTAAGGCCTTGTTCAAACCCTGGACCCTGTGAGGGCTAACCACTCAGCCACCTACTGTATGTGCAGCTCCTCTGATGTCCTGATTCGTGACGGCGTCTGGCACAATACGATACAAGTGAACGGCAAAGCGGGGCTAACGCTTGACGTCATTGTTCGCTAAATAATAAACGAATGTGTCCTGAAAAGAATAATATGATTTCCTCCGTGTGCCGCGGACAGCTGCTGTGTCGTCTGTGAGGCCTTTGTGACGGCTGCTCCTCCGCTCTCCAGTCCAACATAATGGAAACGGATGACACTCAGAATGGCCTCCTTATCTGATGGACTGGCAGAGGGGGAGGCGGGGGAGGGGGTGAGGAGCAGGCAGAGTGGGTGGGGGGTACAATGCATGCTTCAGTGCGCTGTCTTGCAATTTAATTAGCGGGTAAATGGAACACACATGCCCCACATGTTCCCCCCACTCCCTCTTATCGACTACGCAAACAAGAAGCTCTCCCAAAACAGACACATGTTTGGGTTCTTTTACTCAAATAAATGCAGGAAGTAATGAAGTAGGAATGGAACGAGGGCCGTGGACCAGAGGGAGACCAGAGGGGGACCAGAGAGAGACCAGAGAGAGACCAGAGAGAGACCAGAGAGAGACCTAGAGAGAGACCAGAGAGAGACCAGAGAGAGAGACCAGAGAGAGACCAGAGAGAGACCAGAGAGAGACTAGAGAGAGACCAGAGAGAGACCAGAGAGAGACCAGAGAGAGACCAGAGAGAGAGAGACCAAGAGAGACCAGAGAGAGACCAGAGAGAGACCAGAGAGAGACCAGAGAGAGACCAGAGAGAGACCGAGAGAGAGAGACCAGAGAGAGACCAGAGAGAGACCAGAGAGAGACCAGAGAGAGACCAGAGAGAGACCAGAGAGAGACCAGAGAGAGACCAGAGAGAGACCAGAGAGAGACCAGAGAGAGACCAGAGAGAGACCAGAGAGAGACCAGAGAGACCAGAGAGAGACCAGAGAGAGAGACCAGAGGGAGACCAGAGAGAGACCAGAGAGAGACCAGAGAGAGAGACCAGAGAGAGACCAGAGAGAGACCAGAGAGAGACCAGGGAGAGACCAGAGAGAGACCAGAGAGAGACCAGGGAGAGACCAGGGAGAGACCAGGGAGAGACCAGAGAGAGACCAGAGAGAGACCAGCGAGAGACCAGAGAGAGACCAGAGAGAGACCAGAGAGAGACCAGAGAGAGACCAGAGAGAGACCAGAGAGAGACCAGAGAGAGACCAAAACTGTAAATAAAGGCCTTGCTAATATATATAATAAAGTGGTAACCAGGTCTGATGCCAACAAACAGAGGAGGCCAGTCCCTGTGCTTACGTTCAGTGTTTACGTTCACGCTCTCACCTCTTTCACTTCTGTCGTTCTGAGGCGAAACGCAGCGTTCGCGACCGGGCAAATGTTTGTCGTCAATTTGTGGAGAGCAGCGAAAGTGGGTAAAGTTGGGTAAACAGATTCTCTCAAGCCTCACGCATCCACTTTGGGGTTTTGTGTTTGCGATCTGATAAGAGCTGTCAGGAGCGGCTGCAATCACAGAGAGAGCCGGGAATCTAAACAAGGGACAGGCTGTACTCACATTGTTCAACAGCAATCAGCCTCACAGAGTGTTTTTAAACCATCGTTGCTCTGGACGTGGACGAGGACATGGAAGAGTACTGTAGGGAGTTTAAGGAAGAGTACTGTAGGGAGTTTAAGGAAGACTACTGTAGGGAGTTTAAGGAAGAGTACTGTAGGGAGTTTAAGGAAGAGTACTGTAGGGAGTTTAAGGAAGACTACTGTAGGGAGTTTAAGGAAGAGTACTGTAGGGAGTTTAAGGAAGAGTACTGTAGGGAGTTTAAGGAAGAGTACTGTAGGGAGTTTAAGGAAGAGTACTGTAGGGAGTTTAAGGAAGACTACTGTAGGGAGTTTAAGGAAGAGTACTGTAGGGAGTTTAAGGAAGACTACTGTAGGGAGTTTAAGGAAGACTACTGTAGGGAGTTTAAGGAAGAGTACTGTAGGGAGTTTAAGGAGGTATTTATTTAACTACATATAGATGTCATTGGGTTAGTCATGATCCGGGACAAACTCTTCAGGATCTGTGTATTCTGCTCGGTCCTCAGTGGTTTCTTTATGGTTGCTTTTTTTCTATGGCACTTAAGGCCCTCTTTTGAAGGTTCTGGTTCTGGACTGGTCCTTGTTCTGATCCATGTCAGCTGGGTTTTCCACCAGACAAGAGTAGGCGCTGGTTACCATAGCAACACACTGTTTTATTGCTAGCAGTTAGCATTTGGGGGAAATTTCTCAGCACTTAATTGTTTTGAATGAGAGCAGTCTAAATGGCTGCTCTGGGAAGTGCAGTAGCTTCATTATTGTGAGAGTCTTAGTTTAACAACTGTCAGAACTAAAGTATGTACTTTGGACAAACCTCCCTCTCTTTGTCCAGTTTGAGATAATTCAGTCTTATGGATTTTGAAACACGTCCGAAAACAACAACACAAGAAGAAGAAACCCTCCCGACCATAAGTATCTTGTATTTATTATTCCATCCATTTTGATAATGGCGTTGGAGCCAGAAGAATGTGGGTCCGTGGGCAGATCTCAGCACTCCTCGCTCTCCCGCTGCCTGGAACTGGAGCCTGGACAGATATGGTGCATTCCTGACAACATTATGAATCATTGATGGACGAGGATTCGCTGACCACACTGAAAAAACAACCTCGTCTCTCCGCTCACGGCGGGATGGAGGCGCTCCAAGCACAGAATGTTGGTGTTGGAGAGGCCTCTACCGTCTCCTCTGTCCTGGATCCACCTGCTCTCTCTGCTTTTGTTTCTCACAGACAAAACATTCAATAACACATTAAAAACAGTTCAATTTCAGTTTATTCTGCTGTGAAAAAAACAAAAATGTACTGTATTCATTTAACAGTAACAAGACTCATCGTTACTTATTTAAAACAGTTTTAATAATTACTGACACACCATTAAGGCAGCGGCCTCACACACCCCCCACTGAGAGCCTTAACATGGCCTGTTATACATCACTTTAAAACAAGATAACAGCCACATTATATCAATTATTTGCTTTATTGGAATGACAAAGCAAATCAGAGACAGATATATTGATATTTACGCGCTGCTCTTATGAAGCAGTTACAATCATAGCAGTTACTTGTATCGTGTTCTCCTTTGTGCTCTTACTACTGTTCTGTCTGTGCGCTGCAACACTGAACTTTCCCCACTGTGGGACACATAAAGGTTCTCTTATGGTATGTTGAGATGCAGAATAGTGACAGACGATGCAGAGACAGGGCCAAGCAGAGCGTGCAGTCTCTGGAATGTGTGGGAGGAGGCCCAGTCCAACGCCTCACTGCTCCTCCTCAGGAAGAGCCTCCTGCTCCTCCTCAGGAAGAGCCTCCTGCTCTTGCTCCTCCTCAGGAAGAGCCTCCTGCTCCTCCTCAGGAAGAGCCTCCTGCTCTTGCTCCTCCTCAGGGAGAGCCTCCTGCTCCTCCTCAGGCAGAGCCTCCTGCTCCTCCTCAGGAAGAGCCTCCTGCTCCTCCTCAGGCAGAGCCTCCTGCTCCTCCTCAGGAAGAGCCTCCTGCTCCTCCTCAGGAAGAGCCTCCTGCTCTTGCTCCTCCTCAGGGAGAGCCTCCTGCTCCTCCTCAGGAAGAGCCTCCTGCTCCTCCTCAGGAAGAGCCTCCTGCTCCTCCTCAGGAAGAGCCTCCTGCTCCTCCTCAGGCAGAGCCTCCTGCTCCTCCTCAGGAAGAGCCTCCTGCTCCTCCTCAGGAAGAGCCTCCTGCTCTTGCTCCTCCTCAGGGAGAGCCTCCTGCTCCTCCTCAGGAAGAGCCTCCTGCTCTTGCTCCTCCTCAGGAAGAGCCTCCTGCTCCTCCTCAGGAAGAGCCTCCTGCTCTTGCTCCTCCTCAGGGAGAGCCTCCTGCTCCTCCTCAGGCAGAGCCTCCTGCTCCTCCTCAGGAAGAGCCTCCTGCTCCTCCTCAGGGAGAGCCTCCTGCTCTTGCTCCTCCTCAGGGAGAGCCTCCTGCTCCTCCTCAGGAAGAGCCTCCTGCTCCCCCTCAGGAAGAGCCTCCTGCTCCCCCTCAGGAAGAGCCTCCTGCTCCTCCTCAGGAAGAGCCTCCTGCTCCTCCTCAGGCAGAGCCTCCTGCTCCTCCTC